AATTTTTAAAAATTTGTTTAGACTTGATGTGTGACCTATATGTGATCTATCTTAGAGAATGTTCCATGTGCTGATGAGAAGAGTGTATTTTCTATAATTGTTGGATGAAATGTTCTGTAGATGACTGTCAAGTCCAATTGTTTTAAAGTTAGTTTAAATCCTGTATTTCTCTTATGGTTTGTTGCCTAGATAATCTGTCTAATGTTGACAGAGGAGGGTTGAGGTCCCCAACTGTTATTGTATTGGGGTCTCTCTCTCTCTCTATAGGTCTAATAATATTTGCTTTATATATCTGGGTGCTCCAATCCCTATCAAAATACCAATGACATTCCTTACAGAAATAGAAAAACAATCCTAATATTCATGTGGAATAACAAAAGACCTTGAAAAGTCAAAGCAACCCTAAGCAAAAAATAAATGAATAGATAAATAAATACAATAAAATCAGAGGGTTTACACTATCTGACTTCAAATTATACTACAAGGTTATAGTAACCAAAACAGCATGGTACTGTCATAAAAATAAACACATGGACCAATGGAACAGAATAGAGAACCCAGAAATCAATCTATGTACTCACAGGCAACTGGTCTTCAACGAAGGCACCAAGAGCATACATTGGGGAAAGAACAGCCTCTTCAATAAGTAGCACTGAGAAAACTGGATATTCACGTGTAGAAGAATGAAACTAGACCCTTACCTCTAACCATATACCAAAATCAACTCAAAATGGATTAAAGACTTAAATATAAGAGCTGAAGCTGTAAAACTCTTAGAAGAAAATTGGAGAAACACTTCAGGATTTAGGACTGGGCAAAGACTTTATGAACAAGACCCCCAAACCACAGGCAAAAAAGGAAAAAATAAGCAAATGGGATTACATCAAACTAAAAAGCTTCTGCAGAACCACCACCACCACCACCACAACAACAAAAACAATAGAGTGAAAAGACAACCTACAGAATGGGAGAAACTATCTGCAAACTATGCCTCCAACAAGGGATTAATATCCAGAATATACAAGAACTCAAACAATTTAATAGTAAAAAAACAAATAATCTAATTTAAAAATGGGCAAAGGAGCTGAATACACATTTCTTAAAAGAAGACTTTCAAATGGCCAACAGATACATAAAAAATGCTCAACATCTCTTAGCATCAGGGAAATGCAAATCAAAATCACATTGAGATAGCATCTCACCCCAGTTAGACTGGCCATTATCAAAAAGACAGAGAATAACAACAAATGCTGGTGAGGATTCGGAGAAAGGGAAAACCTTATCCACTGTCAGCAGTACTGTAAATTAGTACAGTCATATGGAAAATAACATGAAGTTTTCTTATAGAACTACCATATAATCCAGCAATCCCACTACTGGGTATATACCCAAAGAAATGGAAATCATCATCTGGAGGGATACCTGCACTCCCATGTTTATATTCTATATACAAGAGCCAAGATATGGAACCAACCCATACACCCATTGATGGATGACTGGATGAGGAAAATGTGGTATGTATACACAGTGGAATATGACTCAGCCATAGAAAGAACGAAATTCTGCCATTTGCAGCAGCAGGGATAAACTTGGAGAAAACGATGTTAAGTGAAATAAGGCAAGCATAGAAAGAAAAATACTGCATGTTCTTACTCATAAGTGGGAGCTAAAAAAGAAGAAAAAGAAGAAGGAAAGAAAGAGAGAAGAGAAAGAAAGAAAAACAACAATCGTAATGATAGGTTGAATTTTCAGGAGGAGAGAACAGAACTATGGCTACTATATGTGGGAAAAGGGAAGAAATGGGTTAACAGACACAAAACAGCTAGTTAGAAAAAATAAGTTCTATTGGGGTACAGTTGAGTGAGGCATCTATAATTACCATTATCTTACTGAATGTTATCAAATGACTAGAAGAAAGGAGATCAAATGCCCTCAACACAAAGATACGATTATGTTTTGTAATGATGAATATACTAATTATCCTGAGTGATTATCACACGTTGTATACAGGTATTGATATTCAACTCTGTACCCCAGGAATATGTATAATCAATTACGTTTCAATAGAAATAAAGAAAATGAAAAAGAAAGCAAAGGGGAAAAAAGATAAAGGAGAAAGAAAGTCCTTGGGGTACTGGGTTCTTTTCACAAGCCTGCCCAATTGATTTGAAGAAGACTTACCAATAACCTTGATATGGAAAGTGCAGCTGGCTTGGTTGCTGGATAGGTCAGTTGCTGTGTATGTGATAGCAACATCCCCAATTGGAAAAAGGTAAGGTGGCGTAAAAGCTGGACGAACGTGGATTGACACCTTTTGGAGATAAATAAATATTTTGAAAGTTAAAGTTAATGTTAATAATACATTTATTCTTTTTTGATTTATGTGTTGTTAGTAAAGCAATGTTAAAAATGATCCTATTTTTTATACAGTAAAAAGAAAAAAATCAGGCACAGTCTCCTGGTGTATTTCTTTCCAGACTATCCTATTTACATATTAAAAGGGTTGGCCTACATATGAAATGATCCTTGATTAAACATATTATCTTAAAATATTTTTTATGCTCTTAAATAGTCTTTGGAACTTAGAATGACTCTTAAATGTCTCCATAAAGTTCTATAGAATAAATGTACGACAATTTCTTTAAGAAAAATTTGTTGAAGGACATTAGTTTGGTCCCAAATTTTACTATTATAAACAGCTCTGGGATGAACAGCTTTGCATTTTTATTATTTCCTTATCATAGATTTCCATGAACAGAATTATTAACTCTGACCATTACCATTTTATCAATAGATAGTACAAAATTTATTTTCCAAACAATGGTAAAAATGTGCATTTCCATCATCAATTGTTTGATAATATCAGTCTCAATGTCTCCAAAGTTTCTTGATCTATATTAAACATCATCACTTTCTGGTAACTCAAAAATATAGCACCAGGTCATTGTTTAAATTCACAGTTACTTAATGCCTTATGCTAAGATTAAATTCTCATATGTTTGCATGGTCTTATAATACTATATTTTTTCCTCTTTGAATTATATGTTTAGCTCC